ATATTTTTCTTTTAGAAATAGAAAAATATGAATTCGAAAAAGATGTGAAAAAAATTATGACATAAATCATTAAGTAAATTTATAACTTCTCAGAAATTTTTTACTAAAAAATTCCTATTTATATTTTTAATTGTTTGCCAAATGATGTATATTGAAATAATGACATGGATGGTAAAATTAGATTGCAAAAGAAATTTTTCTTAATAAATAGATTCCATTTTTGTAATAGCTGATTCCATTTACGTTAATTCTATGTGTAACGATAAAAGATATATAATTTACATCTGTTTCTCTTTATTAATACTTCTGTTTCATAACGGTCAATTCAATTTATACGAACTTGTGTAAAAGGTAAAGATCAAGTATAAAATTCGCTGTCTTCGCAACATCTATTCTTCTCTGTGTAATCAAGCTTTCGATGGAAACCGCGATAGAAACCTCAGCGATTCGAAATTATTGGATTTGATTACTGATCCAGTGGCATTATTAGCGGCCTATTAATGTGCATCCTCAGCATTCTTAAATGTCTCAAAAAGTCGGGTCGCACTCAGATAAAGTGGATCGCATTTGATATATTTTTAAGTGCTAGTAGTAAGGAAAAAAAAAAGACAACGGTCGGAGAACTGCGTCTTGAATTTCTAAAAACGAATGTTGAAGCGAAAGAAAGACGCGGTCCGTCTTCGCTCGCAAAAACAATTTTCACGATGAGTGGCGGCGCGCGAAAAAGAATTTCCAAATGAAACGTATCTTCTGCGAGACGATGTCCACGACGACGACGAGGACGGCTCTCGGAGCTCTCGGGGAAAATAAGGTTAATTTCAACGAGGCGCTTATGCACGGAAACGTAGCGGCACGATAAACCGGAAATGCTCCGAGTAATCAATTCTCGTCCTGTAAAGCGCGGAAGTTCCTCGTCTTTTAACGTGCACGCGCGCGCAGTTATTAGCAACTTGGTAATGCAGCATGAATACATGAGCGCTAATGCTCACTTTGAGCAATCTTTCTGTCGCCTGCATCATTGAAACGCATATCTTTTTATCGAACGGATCGGACGCTATATTACTACGACTCGGACTGCGGGGGAATTGCGCGTAGCGTCGCGAAAGTTGTTACTCTCTGACAGTTTCGTCGTACGAAAGAAACAGGGTCTTTCCCAGAAACAATTTCTTGCGATTCTGCGCGGGGGTTGGTCGTGGAAATATAAAGAAAACGACCGCACACGGAGCATTTTCGTCCGGCAGTTTTAGATATGATTAAAAATGAAGTTGTGCGGTAAGAAAATAAATACTATCCATTATCGTAATCCTGAAAATGGTATAGTGTTCTCGCAGATTACATAACCGGAAAATATCCTAGCGTTATCCTAGCGGCCACTTTCATTTACGAATTCCCTCGGAATCGATTAAGCCGCTGAATCGCAGTTATAATACCTTTGTCATTTTGAAAAGCGGTGGAAATCAAACAAATATTTATAGTACTTAGAATTAGCAGCAACACAAATCTTAAACGCGGAGTCCAAAGGTTGATTGACCTGGTTAACTTGACCGTAGATTTTTCTAACAAAGTTCGTAGTCAGCTGATAACAGTGTATACTGAAGAAACACCATTATGCGCGTTACATGAAGTAGCTGGATGGAATAGATGTAGAAGAACTTAGTTTCTGCCTATCCAAATATTTGCGCATTTCAATTCGGACGATCATCCTGACTGTGATAAAGAATATCCGTTAAAACACATCGTGGCATCGTGTTTTATAGCAATTTTGTTAACAATGATCTCGCAAATACGATATGGCCGCAAAGCGTAATTTTCACGCCTCGCTATTTCCGTGTCAGTCTCTCGTAAATAAACTGCATAAGTGATAAATCGTTCCGTCGAATACTCAACGTTGGGCGGAAAGTACAGTGAAATTGACCGTAAATCGTGGCGTTTTCCATGTGCGCCCGATAATTTGCAGTTGATAAAATCGCGCGCTCCAAATATGTCCGCCAATAATCTATACCCATTTAATGCGCGATAAAGTATTAAGCAAGCGTGTTAAGCCACAAGAAAAAGGATGGAATTACGATGGGATAAATCGGAGATTACTCGTACGGCGTGTAATTCACGTTCGTTGGTTTTATCGTCGATTTGCGATTTTTTTATGTGTATACGTGTGTCCCTGAGTACTTGTGTGTATGTATGTGTGTGTGTGTGTGTGTGTGTGTGTGTGTGTGTGTGTGTGTGTGTGTGTGTGTGTGTGTGTGTGTGTATGCGCGCGAAAAGCCATCGCCGCGACTCATCGCTAATGTACGCACTTCCGGCGACGAGTTAATCTCTGGTGGATCGATCCGCGAATATGCAGCCCATTAAATGTCAAGCGACACAAACGCGAGCGACTGAAAATTGATTTTCTGCCGTCAAAGAAAGCGGTCGATGCACGTGAATATGCAAGTTGCTCGAAAATTATTTAGACGTTGGTTGTTGATAGACGTTGTTCCGATAAATTATTTTTCGAGACCACAATCGAGACGAGGTGTAATATCTAGGTTTCGATCTGGATCTCATTTCCCAGATTTCCCTTTATCGTCGTAAAGTGCGCGTAAATAATTTCGCTTTTCGTTTTCGTCATTACTTTCAGCTGTGATTTCTACGACTTATCGGTTGCCGACCCTTCAATAACCGACGCTATTCGAAATCGATTGCGGAACACTTATGGAATATTCATTCGAGAATATCGCTTCGCTGCTCGCATGTCGGTACAAAGATCGCCGGTAATTGCCCTGGTTTGCTTTCCCGAGCGACATCGGCGATTAAATGTCGCTAATACAGGGAAGCCATCGCGACGAATTTACCATTCTCTCTACGACATACACACACCCTTTGTAGCCGCTGCAATTTATGCAAATCGAATACGATTGTCAGATCGACAACACGAGAAACGAGAAGACAGATCGGGTGCAATTTGTTATTAAACTAAATCCACGATGCACTCTACAGAAATCGGAATAAATTGTTCTTTTTCTCTATTGCAAGTACACGTGGTCGAGTGCGTTGTCGAAATACTTTTTGCATACAAAAAAAAGAAGCGCAGGACGAATCACTGTCGTGTACCGTCAATGTCTCAATTAAAAAAGGTAACAATAAACGCTCTGCTCAAGTGACAATCCAATTATTTTCGCAACATTTTATCATCCATTTGAGTGATCGAGAAAGCACGTGGCTCTTTCCAGGGGTCGATTTTTGAAGAACCGTGACATAATTCGAACATTATAAGTGGCGCTAATAATAAAGGTGAGAATTTTAGAATTTTATAATCAATATGGTTTTTATCGTAGAAAATTCTACAAAATCTGAGGCTTACATGTTTAAAAACGACGGAGCAAAGTAAATAACGGGAAAAGATATGTATGAAGTATTTCAATCCTGCAAAAACTTTTTAATGATGCTCAGAGACCGAAAATCGAAGCTTTCATTAAAAAGTTACAGAAACTAGCCGGATATCGTGCTTACACGCGGACGAAATTAATTTGTTTCTTGCTGCAATGCGAGAGATATTATGGAAACTGGCACGAATTGAAGTTGTTGCGAGACACAAATTAATAAAAAGCGTTTGGATCCTTCATATCGACGAATCGATAATCATACTTGACTCGCATTAATCATTATAAAGTAATATGTTTTCGTAAATTAACTATATTGGATCCTTACAAGCTGTGGTCAGCGTCTTTTTGTCGAAGCCGAGAATATAGCCGAGAGTTTTAGTCAAAAGTTTCTTACAATTCTGGAATAATTTTCCTTTTCTCGTAAGAACAAATGTTGCTACAATCGATGTAATTTAAACATGCAAACTTATTACATTAATCTTCTAGGACAGCTTTGCATCTCGTAGACTGTCCGAGAATGCAAGATTTTCTCCTTGTAAAGAAAATGAATTCTTCTTTGATAATAAGAACAAATAACATTTCCGGCAATGCCAATTATAATATCAGAAATGTGTACATCTTAAATGACTTTCGTAAATTTACTCTACATCAAACTCGTATAAAATAAAGTTTTAAACGTGAACGTTCATCTGTGTTACTAATATCAAATAAAATTTCTGAATTCGTTATGACATTCCCGAAGAACTTTAACACGAATATGCAAATTCCTCAACACGTGTTCACTTCAAAAGTAACTTCTTCTCGTTGCAAGGGCAAACCTCGATGTAACTGACCGGAATTAAAATTCGCTAACCCGCAACCCACGCGCTGATCCCAAAGGACTGCTCCGCGAAGCGAAATTCTTCACGCCCCTCGCATGAAAAGTGCCTTTCTCATGGGATGAGATCAAACATCACCGTAACCGATCTGAATGAAAATTCACGAAGAGCGAACGATGCTAACCTCTTAAAACTTTCGTACGACTGTTCAAAAATGCAAAAATCTCCATGACGATTGCGAAAGCAAATTTACTTTCTTTGCAAGAAGATAAACGTTATTATAATTGAATTAAACTGGATTAAAATTCACTAATCTACGATGCAAATCATCAAAGAAAGTTTAAAAATAACAACTTTATATTCGTATCAGGATGTAAAAATAAATAAAATTTATAAAACTTCCGCGTATTAGTATTAATTCTGAAGGATTATTTAGCTCAAAGCGTGAAATTTAGATTACGTAAAAATTAAAATAATAAGCGGGAGATAAGAAGGAAAAACGTTCGATTTATTATTTTATACAATAAAAAAATCTTGTCCTAAGAAATTGTATTATACTAACAAATAAAAATGCAAATTGTATTTAGAATTATAAAAAACAAATCAGTGAAGAAGTCTCATGAAATAACAAAACTCAGAATATCCATATTTAAAGAAGTATATACTTTTTTATGGGTTTTCACGTCACAATTGAAAAGATCCGGAAGGCTATCGTGTTAAGTTTTAAAAATCTTAAAGCGCACTCGTCCCTGATTAATATTTTCTCACGATACCGACGAGCCTGCCACGATCGATCTGAATGAAAAGATTCGCAAACCTGCAGTGATAATCCTGGAGGAGTTTCACACATCTCGAGAGCGATTTGATGACGACGTTGCAGCAATGCGTTCGAGGAACGTTAATGCCGACATTGCCTGTCCCTTTATTCTTTCTCACCCTTTGTCGAGGACGCACGTGATTCAACGGATTGAACGCGAATACCGAACGTAACCGCACAGACTGAGGGATGCCGGTAAACTGATCCTGATGGTCCTCCTCCGCGGAGGAGACCTCCGGGTGCAGGACGAGGCGCGCAAGCCCGCTGCGAGCGCGAGCGCGAGCGGGAGGCCGCGGGAAACGCCGAGTTTAGAGAAAGCGAGAGGGATGAAGCTCGGAGGAGGCTGGGCCTGATTTAATCGCAAAGGCAGGACATCACCGCGCGGGTGTGCGCCGCTTCAAAGGATAAAAAGCTCTGGTAATTTGCACCGGCCCGCAAGCCGAGACGAACGAAGGAGGCAATCTGCGTTTCTATAAGATAGCAGCGCCTAGAGATGCTTACACGAATGTCGATGCGCGATACCAAGAGATGGCTGATGAACCAGTAAAATTAAAAAAACTTCAACATCACAAACACAATGTTTATTAGATTTTTTTATCTGTTCTAAATATAGATATGTTCTAAATATTATAAATTAAATAATGTGTAAAAAAAATGTGTGTTTAAAAATTAATTTATAATAAAATTTATTTTTTGTAATTACATTGTTACAATTGTTTTGTATTTAGATTATTATATTTAAAATAGAAATCTGTATTGTTTTAGATTTAGTGATTCTAAAATTTTTAGAATTTTTAGAAGTTGTCAAAATTTATATTGATATTAACTTGTTAACTGATAATTTTGGTTTTATTTCGTTTAAAATTGCATAGCAAACTATTGAATATTTAATATTGATCAATATCGATCAATTGCTATTAATCGATATTAATTTCCGAATCAACTAGTAGTACTACATTAGTACTACTACAATGCTACACTTTATAAGAAAAGTTTAAAAGGTTGTATATTATTGCGATATCGTTAGCATTTCAAATAGTAATTTTGGATTAGAACGCATTATCGACTCTGTCTATTTCGCCCTTGGCCGTTCGTGCCACGTTACTGTTATCGAGATCTTTTGAGGTTCCGAAAAAGTTTGTACGTCGTTTTGTTGATCGATGAGTGCGGCTTTTATATTCAGGAGGCAAAAGACGCGGCGTTGATATTAACTTCACGAGGAACTTTTTAATTTTTGTTCGATTGATATCGCTGTGCTTTCGTACAGTTTGTTGAAAGGTGAATAAAAGATAAAATGAGTAATGATGCTACAGTGAATACAACAATGAAAATATCCTGACTACAAAGGCCTAAAAAAATTCTAACAACAGAAATTTAAAAATACTAACAATACAAAAACAATAAAATATAATCAACAAAAGTATTTAAAAAGCTATCTTTACAATTAGAATATTTTTTGCACGTCTTATATGTATATACACACACACACACACACACACACACACACACACACACACACACACACACACACATACACACACACACACACACACACACACACACACAACG